GCGAGGAGCCAGGGGAAAAACCTGCTCTGCGCCGGGAGAGGACGGGCATCAATTCAGCCACTGCGTTGGGGAAGTGCTGCATGCACAGAGATGCAGCCGGGAGCCCACCTTGGCTTAGGAGAGTTTTTGATTAAGTCACTCTATAACTCCATCGACCAAAAAATAAAAGGCAAAAAAACCCAAAAAACCCCCAAAACTTCACCAGCTTCACTCCCCACACAAGTTTTACCTAGCTCCACTAATAAGCTAGAAGCACAGAAGTACAGACCTGAAATGGGCTGTAGGAGACCAAGCAGTCTAAGAACACCACAGAGAGACAACAAGTTTAACTGCCATGGTAAAAAAAACAAAAAATAGCTTAAATCAGGGTAATATTTATTGAAGTCTTCATGCCGATCATATTCACATATTAGTGTGCAAGGTAGGTGAGACCCATCTCACCCTGTGTGGCTGAGGTGCAGACAGTAAATTCTGTCTGTGTGGGGTCCATCTCCCCAGCACGCTGAAGAGCAGCTGGTCCTTGCTTTGTGTGTCCCCATCGTGCCCCAGCAAAGGCCCTGCTGCAGGGCAGGAGGGGTGGCTCACCCACCTGGCCGGGCTTTGGGCTTTGCGTTGGAGCCGGCATGCAGAAGGCCTGGGATAACACAAATGGGGACTTTCGGTGCTGCCATGCTAATTAGTCAGCACTCATCAAGATAGCTGGAAAAATAATTGTGCAGATCGTATCAGACTAGTTTGTGGTTGGCTTGAACTGGTGCTTTATTCTGCAGATACAGAAATCTCTAGCATTTTTAAAAGGCCGCACTTTTAAAAAATGTTGACTTATGATTTTTTTCCCCATTAACCACCAAAAGGAAAAAAAAAAAAAAAACCCAAAAAACAAAACAAAACAAAAACAAACAAACAAAAAAAAACCAAACAAAAAAAACCCAAAAAAAACAAAAGCTTGATCTGTGCCTGTTGATTTGCTTCCTTCCATAGCTTTATTTCTCCTTTTTGTTTGGTACTTGGTGTTTTCCCTGTCTTTTGAGATCCCTGTGAAGGAAAAGGGGCAATGAAACTGGCAATGCAATATTTTCTAGCTATGTCTATGCTTTGCTGTGCTGATGTGAAAAGGTAAAACTTAAATCCAGCCCTGAGATGTTCCTGTTTCAGGCTTCCAAATAATGTTCTAACCCTCTTGCAAGCACACCAGGGCAGCAAGTGCCTTGCTCTGTGTGTAGATAGCAAAGAAATGATCCTTTGCTGGCTGTACTGTGGGAACCCCTCAGCTGATGCTGTTCTACCCCTCATGCAGCTGGTTTGAAGATCCCTGGGATTTAGTCTCGGGGGAAAAAAAAAAGTAATCATTCAAAAAACAAAGAGCTTCCTTTTCACTGCTTCTCACTCCTTTCTAACAAGGGCTGCTTTTTGGTCAAGAATCTGCCTCTATTTTTCAAGTAGGAGCTTCTTGGGCAGTATTTTCAATTTTCTTTTTAATTTTTTTTTTTGTTGTTCCCCCACGACGAATGAACGATTGGCCTAATTCAGGAACACTAAAATTATTACTCTTTTTTTCTGAGCAGCAGAAGCACACCTGTAATTTCTCACGGAGTACGTTTTGCGGCACAAGAACCGCGTCCCTTCCCAAAATGTATCCTTATGTAAGGAGCAGCTCAGGCTGGCGATTCTTGCTCCATCAGAGCGCTTAGAGCACTTAGAGAAAAAAAAAAATCAGGGAGAAAGATGAGAAGCAGTGCTAAAGTTTGATTCTGGAGATAAACAAGGTTTAGGTGCTCAGAATCAGCTTCCCCCCAATAAATGGTACATGTGAAGTTGGGGTGTCTGTTGAGCTGGCCCGTGTCTGCACAGGTCTGCAGAGACAATGCCAGGGGATGTGCCTGATCCAAGGCACTGGATCCCAGCTCTGACAGCTCTGAAATCACCTTGTCAGCTGCACTGGGTGGGGGAGATGCAGCACAGACCTTGAAAGGAGATAATATTTTAGGTTGTTATCAAGGCAGGAGCTGGGCTCCAAACGGAGTCACTCATTTCTAAAGTTGGCAGTTTACTAGCATTGTCCTGTTTGGGTTTAGCACGATTCAAAGTCTCTCTTGTGGCAGGAGTGATGGCAGGTGGGAATGGCCAAGGCTGGGGTCTGGCTTTGAAGGTAAATTATGGTGTGGTGCTCCCTGCTGTGGCTGGAGACTTCCCAAGGAGGGGAAAGGGGACATGGGGACATGACTGCAGAAGGGCCTGGACAAGGGATGGCAGTGTGGTGTCCTAGTGGAGAGAGGGCTGTGCATCACTTGGAGCCAAAGGAGAGCTTTCCTCCAAGATCCCTTGGGAGGAGAAGAACCAAGGGGGGGGAGAGTCTTCATTGAGGTTTTGGGTGCTGCAGTTTGGGTTGGGCACAGAGGAACATGGATGTGACAGGGAAGCTGTCATGACTATGCTGAAGAGGCCAAGCTTTGGTCCAGGCATGTGCAGAGAACCATGCCTGGGTAAATGCCAGGCTGGTTAAAAAAAAAAATAAAAGCCAATTAAAGAAAAGGTAATAGGTCTTGGTGGGTGTGACTGTGGATTCTGCCACTTGTGGAGCATTTGGCTTTAAGTCACTTGGGATAGAATCCATCACACTTTTCCCTTGTAGAGAGAAGATCTAGAGTCCATCAACACAGACTCTGCTGGATGGTCACACACATGAGGTCTGAAGAGGAGTGTCCTCAAGGCTTTTAGTGAAGCAGGTGGTTAAAATGCAGAGTGTTCACAGGCTGGCATCCAGAGGGTATTTCCATTCTGGCATCCATAGGGTGTTCCTCTGAGAAGAGTGTCTAAGGGACTTGGCCACCAGAGTTTCACTTGGTTTTTTCTGACCGCTTTGGGCTTCTCAGTTTCTGCAAACATTGCCATCATTTGTCTGGATGATGAGTGCTCATGTTCCATGTTAGATCACCCAGTCTCACTGAGGGATGGTGGCTCCACAGGAAAAGTAGCCTTTTCTCCTGGATGAGATAGTCCCAAGTGACAATTTCACTCTGCAGAAAAGATTCACCTCATCTTCAGAAAGAGGTTGAAATTAGGTCCCATGTTGGGTAAAAATACCTTAACCAATGAGATACTGAATTAAGGCTTTTGGTTTTACTTTCTCCTTCTCCTGTTTTTTTTTTTTTTTTCTTTTTCGAAGGAGAAATTCTTCAATACCCAAGTTCTTGATTTGAAAGGTCAAAGTGCTGCACTGAGGAGCAAGTTCAGACTTATGGGGAGGTAAGATAAGACACCTCCATCCTCATCATTCAGTGATGATTTCCTGGTCCTTTTGTTGAGCTGGGGACACTGCCACTCAGTGTGGTGCTTAAAATTACCTTGTCTTAAGATGTGCAGCTCTTCCTACCTGTTCACAGCCCAGGGAATACTCCATCCACTCCATAGGTTTCTGCTGTGGGGATCAGCCTTTTGGGAGCTCCAGTAAGTCTCACGGCTGCAGCCCTTCAGCCTCTTTTCAAGAGCCTGACCTAGTAAAGTCAAGTAAAGTGTAGCCATGGCCCGTGAGAGCCTTTGGACTCACACAGATATAAAACAGAACTGTAAAAACTGATGCACTGAATAAAATATAATAGCACTCATTCTGGAATAGAAGCTGATTTATTTTAACTTGACTTAATATATTTTCTTATTCTAGCTTAAGAGCATCCAGAAAAGTTCCTCCAGTCAATTTTCAAGTGTCAACAAGCTGTTTTTCTTGGTCTCACAAACTCATCTTTGAAATGGGAATAACTTAGTCTCCCATATGGTGTTGAAAGCTACTTCATAGCGGAAATCTCCTGTATATTCATACAGAATTTTAGAGGAGCAGGTGGAAATTATCTGGCAATTAAAGTTAGTGCTGTGGAGCTAGGACTTGGAATGACATAGCCAATCTATTCAAAGACCTCATCTCCTACTGTCAGCAGTTGGTTACGTGACTGTTCATGGTGCTGCTCCTCATGGGGGGAGAAGCCCTTGAGGAGATGGAAAAAGATTTCAGCTGATTTCTGATAAGCGGGTTTGAGCTGATGGTGACATTTATCTGAAAGGAAATGGTTAAAAGAAGGTCTTTAGCAGCTCTGGTTCTGACATCGTTCTGCAGACTTATTGGGGTATTAATGAAGAAAAGTACCTTCTGTGAATGCAGGAAGTGGCCTCCAATAAAGTTTGCAAATTTCACAGAAAAAGGGACATAAAAAGGTCAAGACTCTCCTCCGACATTTTGTCTAATTTTATTTTGAGCAGTAGATTTCTCTACTCACTTAAAATACTCAGGTGTGAGCAATAGCACAGGATGGTTGCCACCATCCCAAGGGAAAGTGTTCACCACCTTCTTGCAGCAGCAGTCCAAGGCTTATCCCTCACCATTTTTCAGAATTGCTCAATATTTTTGTGACTGTTCGTAGCTGGCGTTAGATCACCAGCTTTTCCTCCATTGCAGAAATTACAAACTTCAGAGCTTTTTTTGTTTGTTTCTCTGGCTTTTTTCAAATTATGCAGAACTCTCCTACTTCCCTCCAAGGGTTTGCTCAAACGTTCTAAACTTGACTGGAAGACCTGATGAACTACTTTACCTCCAGAGTGCATGGTAGGGAGGTATAGGCATGTGCAAACAGCTGTTTTGGCTGAAAACTGATTTGAAATGTTGTTTCAGATATATATAAAAATGAAACCCAGCACTTCATGGAGACACTGTCAATGGAGAGAAGATTTGCAGCCTCTTTCTTTCAGACACTGCTCCTGTTTAAATTTCCCTCTGATGTTAAGGTGAGGAGCACTGTGGCATTGCTGTGAAATCTCTGCTGTGCAGAGAATCCCAGGTGAGAGCAGTTCCCTGTGAAGCAGATGCTCAGGTGACATTCCCGAGCCATTGAGGGCCTGGTGCTCAGGGAGCTTTCTCCATCCTCCTGAGGCCAGGAGGTGAGCAGGGAATTCAGTGCTTGGCATGAGGAGTCTTGGAAGAGGGGTGAGCTCAGCTACCTTAAAATTAAGCAATCAAAATTAAAAGGAAACACACTTGACCTCAGCTGGAAGTTGGTGCATTTAAAATAGGGGATGGTGCTTTTTTGCAACCTGCCTAAGAAGTTTGCTAATGCCCCTGATTTATTATAGAGGCCGAGAGAAACAGCTTTGCACAGCAGGATAAGCATGCTTTTGACTTGGTTCCAGGTATGACAATAGCTGAGAGCCATCAAAAGTAGGAAGAAAATAGCTGCCAACGGTTCTGTCTGACTTGGATGATCCTGATTTTCCTCTTGCTCTGTCAAACCCTGCTCGCTCAGTCCTTTCTGATGGAATTGAGGACAGAACGTCCTTCTGAGAGCAGCTTTTGTTGCTATCAGCATTGAACTGTGCTTTCCTTGTAGGATATGCAGAGTCCTGGGAAGAGAACTCTCTCTCCTCTGCCTTCCCGTGCTTCTCCAAGAGGGAATGCTGAGTACTGAGCACAGGCAGTGGGCTGGACCTCTGAGTTTCACAGGATGCCAGCAGACAGCAGCAATATTCACAGACAATATTCAGGAAAAAGGTTTGCCATTGGAAGTCACTGAAGAAATATTGTCTCCTGCTCCCGACTATGGCAACTGGAATTAGCAGACCAATCCTTTTCTTCCCTTCTCCTTGAAAAGGACAATGGGAGGCCAGGTAAGCCTTCACCAAACCTTGGCAAGGAAATACCTGAGCTGGGGGAATTAGCTAGAAAATCATGCTAGAAGATGTGGAGTATCAGACTACAGGATTCTGGTCTGAAATAAAGCCAGAACCAGCGTTTTGGAGGTTTTGTGACACTGGAAAGGAATATTTTTGCAATGTTAGTGAGGGGGATGATGTGTGGGCTGTGCAGTTGTGGAGTTTTGTTTCACATGCTCACGTCCCACTGCAGCTTCAGCTTTACAGAGCTTGTCCTCTTCTGGGAGAGGTAAAGGACACATACCTGTTTGGATGACCAAACAGGTAAGGTGGTATATAAAACAAGATTGAAAAATATGACCTTCTCACTGAAAAAATACGAACTTCAGGCATTTGGGCACTTTCCTAGTCCTTTTAGAAAACTTGGAAGCAAATGGTTAAAAGTCAGCTAAGAATATTTACCTCTAGCCACAAATCAAACAAAATGTCAAATTTTTTGTCCATTTTCCTCCATCATGCTCTTTAAACATGCTAAGAAATTCATTTTGTTATGGATTTTCATGCATAATTTGGGTTGCACGCAAAGGGTTTTTTTTCCTTCTAGTATGTAAAAAAATTGGATTTTGAGTATTGTTGTATGTTTAAAGCTAGTACTACGTGTAACTAATGGGTATGAAATTTAAAGGAGGGTGCAGATCATTCTTTGAAGGTAAAGATGCCACAGTTTACATAAGTTCAGTTCATGTACTTTGTCAGCTGCAGCTTTTGCTCTGTCCTTTGAATTTCCAGGACACCACCTTTATCTGAAGGCTTATATTGAAACTGAACAAGCAGTCCATGATTTTGAAGGAGAGGATGAGGGCTTTTTCCCTTACCTGAGGAATCCGCTCTTGAACTGAAGACCACAGCCTTTAAAAGCCTGGAGTGGTGATGCCTGTCTCTCAGAAATCTATGCAGGTGTGTAACTCATTACTTTTGCACCCAAAGGCATTTCTCCATGTGTTTCTTCACTAAGACTAAAAAATTCCACACTGGAATGCAATCATATTGCTTAAGGAAACTGGAGAGTGCCTTGCCTTGAAATAAATCCTGTCCCCTCACTGCTAGAAGTGCCTGAAGGCGTGTGCACTCCCTGTCCTTAGAGTCATAAGCTATTTAATCATAAACCATAGGCAGGGATGAGTAGCCATAAACAACTTGGATACAGTAAAAACTGCAGAAGTGGGAAGGACTGAAAGTTTCAGGAGGGCAGAAAGGAGCCCATGCTTAGGGCCACATCTGCCCTGGTACCCAGAGGCGTGCTGGAGGGGAAGAGGGAGCTGGGAGAGGAGCCCCAGCTGGGTGGAAGTGCTGCTGCCCTGGCCCCAGGCTGCTGTCCAGCTTCAGCAGGGCCCAGCTCATTTGCTGCTCTTGGAAAGTCTGTGTCAGTTTTGGAGGGGATTTTTCAAGGCAGTGCAGAGTGTGAGGGTGGCTGGTTTTTGTTGTTAAGGAGAGCAGTGTGTTTGTTCACAGCTGCTGACAGCTCTGTCAGGGCAAACAGGGAGGGGGACAAGGCGTGTGAGTTTGGGGGATGAATCCCTTTCCAGACTATCCTGCTTTGGCCAGCAGTTTCTGTAGCTTTATAGCAGGTGTAGATGTGTGAAAGGGTGGGGAATTTTTTTTCCCTCCTCCTCAGCAAAATCCATCTGTCCCCAACTCCTTTCCCCTCCAAAAATCCTTGTGCTGCACTCACCTGTCCTGCACTAGGCATGTGGGGGCCGGCACTTTGCAGCCCCTTACTTTTTCTTCCTCCACACCTGTCTAAGGGCTCTGCAGTTTGGGACATAGGTCTCTTTTTTCCCTCCCCTCCCCTCCTGTGGTGGATTCATCCCAGTTCAAACCTGGAGCTTGGGGTGGCACTGAGGTGGGCACAAGGAGACTGAACTCATGGTGCTGTGGGTCAGGTTGGGCTGCCTGACAAATCTGAATCTGAAATCACACTGCACTGTGCTGGCTGGCAGGGAACAGGGGACAGGTGATAAATGAGTCCCAAAAATTCTGTTCTGAGTGCACAGTAAGTGCCACAGGGCTGCAGAGAGATCTGAAAACACAACCACTGGGTCCATGCAAGCTGTCTCTCCCGAGGCTGGGAGCAGCTCCTCGCTCTCTGGCAGCCCAGAAGCAGCTGGGGAAGATGGAGTAGTCACAGTCATTATTTTATGGCATGTCACTAAAACTCCTGTGGGAAGAGACAAGCAGGCTGCCCAGCTTTTCACCCATCAATGCTTTTAAAAACACAACGTCCTCTTCTGAGGCCCCAGCAAGAGGGTCTGCACACCTTTTCAGGTGCTTGTCATTGGTCTTGAAGATGCCAGTTGGCATCAAGTGAGGAGATTTTGTTTTTCCTGAGGTTGGAAGTGTTGTGTCAACTTTAAATTAAGACAGCTTTTGTCTGGGCGGTATCTGACACACAGCTTGCCACTTGCTAAATCTGAAATTAAGATGTTTGGACCAAAACAAAATGCCCTTATATTAAGATATTTTAGCTCTGTTGTCTTCTGTAGGATACTGAATAGAAGCTGCTATTTAAAGGTATTTTAGTGGGAAGCATCCATGGATGCTGATGGCAGCTCTCTCCACTATCTGCTTATAGGATGCAGACATTCTTCTTCAGCTTCTAGACACTACATCTGTTTGTTAAACTTAAAGACGGGGTTTTTCTCAAGCCTTTTCAGTCTGACTCACATTGCTCAGGGATCATGGTGCAAATGCTGCTGCTTTTGTGCAAGGTCAGTGCAGGCAGGCCATGTGGTCTGGCTGTGCTCTGAACTGAATGGTCACACTGCTCCTCCCTGAGTGTCACTACCTCGTGGCAGAGGTGGATCAGGCTCCTTTGGGTATTGGTGCTGACAGTCCATGTTACCCAATGGCCACAAGGTTTGTGCAGGACTGGTTCTTTGATATCTAACCACACTTTTAAGGAGAGTTTTAAGGAGAGGGCTTGCAGTTCATGCTTGATGTTTGCTTATTTTCAAATGCAACACTTCAGCACGAAGAGGAGACCCTTAATATGGAAAAAGTCAAATTCCAGTGAATGCAACAATGGATCTCGCCCAGATTTCTGGCCAGAAACTCTGATCAGAGTGGAGTAGCTATCCTGACGTTCCTTCTCTCCAATTAGGAAGATGTCAGGGCCAAGCAGCAGTCTGGTAAACTTAGGGATGTTTTTATTAAACAGCTTTGGGATGCAGAACTATTTACACTGATCTTGTTTTTCAACCCTTCAGAGGGCCAAGGAGGAAGCTGGAGGTTATGTAGGAAATAATCCTCCTTCATTATATTGCTTCCCATCTGTTGGGTTAGTTTTTAGGGTTTATATGTATTCATCTCTCAGGGAGCACTGGGGATTTCACAGGCAGGAAACTTTATCAGGGAAGTATCTCAGAGCACTTCTGTGTGGCATGGACAGGAGCTCAGTGCCAGGTGAGGGGGTTCCTGGGGGGCCAGCAAGCTCACCCCAGTCCTGTGCTGTACCACACAGCCCGGGTGGATGGGGCAGGAGGGTGAAGTGGGGCCTCAGGTCCATGTGCAGGGAAGTCAAAGCCTTTGTGCTGCATGAGGCAGGAGAGGCGAGCTGAGTTCTCCCCTCAGTGTCATGGTGATAGCTTCCCAAAACCATCGTCTGCACTTGTGATTATCTGCAGTGCTGGAGAGGATGACAGGCAGTCAGAACTCTGGTGGTGTCACCAGTCCTCAGCCAGGACAGAGGGTACAGTTTCCCCAAGCTCTTGAGACTCCTCATTTCCACTTCAATCCTATGACAGCTCAAGGGGATGTTTCCCATTTTCCTTTTTGGCGCTCAGTAAAATGGTCGGTGAGTTAAAGCAGGAGCACCCACCACATCTGAAATGCAGAGTGCCACATGTTCACAGCCACACAGGGCTGTGAGTCAGCTCCTGACAGGATCAGGTGGGCAGAAGGCTGTGAGGAGCAACCTGGGCTCCCAAATCTGGTGTGGCACTAAGCAGGATGACTTGCAAGAGGTGAGGTGACGCCCACCAGGCTTGATAAGCAAGCGCCTGGTGGTTTGTGTATGCTTTAATGGAACTATTTATAACCTTTTGGAAAATGTAATTAAAAGTTGAAATCACCCATTTGACTTATGGTCCCATATAATTCAAGTGAGAGAAGAATTTCCAGGAGAAAAGTGCTGCGGTGAGTTCAGGTTGGATCCAGTGAAACGGGATAAATGACACTGGCTGCAGGAAATGCTTGGAATGGTTTCCTGTCACACCCAGCATGCTTCTCCTCATTGCCACCCCCAGAGAGTGGAGGCAGGGCTAGGGTAGTGCTGCACTCATGATCCTTGGGCCATTCTTGGAGCTGGCAAACACGTTTTTGGCACCATTCTGCTCAAGGGACAGTGACCTGTGTGTGCTGCAGGGTTCTTGACCTCTTTTATTGAATGACCTTGAAATGGAGGCAATGCTGAATCCTTTAGCAGTAGGCTGATGTGAGTTAGGAAATAGCCTCATAAAAGCAAAAAATCATATGCGTCCCATTCTGCAGTGTTCCCTACTCAAATTGGAATACATTATAGGAGTTTAAAGGAACAGGGAAGCACATGGTGTGGAGCCATGGAAATTATGTTCATCAGCCTTTTCCTAAACAGCCTTTGCCTACCTGGGCACAAATGCCATGGTCTTACAACAGGGGAGCTGGGCATCACTAGGACAAACTAATTTTCATTTCAGGATTGCCCTCACAGGGTTTTTTCCTGTGAGGCTCTACCAGTGCCTGGTGTTTCACCTAACACCTGGCTCCAGATAATTTATGGAGCCTGGAAGACTTCTGCTCCCATTTGGAAAGCTTGGGTTTGTTCAGGTGGCTGCGGGGTCACTTGGCACAAGTGAAAACCTTGCTAAAGCAGGAGACAAGTCACCTTCCTTGCCTGGTTCATGAGTTTCAAGGCGGTGTTGGACTCGCTGAGGAACAAGGAGCTTGTTAGCTCTTACAGGCAAAGAGAATTATTCCATTCTGTGCCCATCTCCTCAGAGCCAAAGCAGTCATGGCACCTCATCCTCCAGTACCAAGCCATGTTGAGCTTTTCCCATGGCTCTTCCCAGTTCTCCATGGCCAGGCTGCTCCAGACTAAAGCAAGGCTTGGAAGGAGCGTGAGGGAGGGCTCTGCAAAGGCGCCGTGGCGGAGCAGGGAGAGCTTTCCTTGTGCTTGCTGCAGAGCTGGGCTCCTGGCACCCCCCTCCATGAACCCCTGCTCTCACACCTGTTCTCGCTCAGGAGACACTTCTTGCACCTCCCACAAGTGCACATGCTTGGGCTCCAAGAGCCTCCCTGGATTTCGGACCTTCGTGTGATCAGAATGAATTAGACTTGGCTGAGGGATGGGATTATTGCAGACCTGTCACTTCACAGTATGTTCCTGTTACAGCCCACACTCATGTCTGCTAGTATTTTAAAGTAAACTTTAATTAGCATTTTCCCAAGAGTGTGAATAAATTGTTTTATTGTTGTTTTGGTGTTGGTTTTGTTTTAAGGAAAAGAGTGTTTACTCACCAAGGACATGTTTCCAAACTCTCCATCCGCACCAGTGCTGGTTTTTATGGTATCTCATCACAGATCCCCCGGAAAGCTCTGTGTGGGGCTGGTGCTGGGAGCAGGGCTCCTCGGTGGTGGGGTAAGATGTGCCCTGGAGGCCCATGCAAGTGCTGGAGTGTTTGAGTCGTGTTGGGGCAATGCTGTCAGACTCCTGATGGCCATGTGCCACCCATTTACAGCAGACTATTTCAGGGGAGTTTCTCCAGTCTAAGTAAAGCTGTGTCTGCCTTGGTTTGGTTACCTGTGGGCTCAGCTTGGGCTCAGTGACCTCAAAAGTCCTGATGAACTCCTGTCTAACAGAATCCAGCAGCACTGGGCAGATCTCCTCTTATTGTAAATAGCACCTGAGATGCTCTTTGCAG